CTTGGTGGGGAAATGCCAGGGATGGCAGTAAGGGAAAGATCCATCCAATAGAGCAGATCCCACAGAAATTGGTAGGCAAAGCCTGGAAACTCATCTTATTACAGAGAAAAGCCCATCCTGTAGGAAGTCATTTGCCATTGGGTAGGGAGATATTTTGTTTAATAGAACAATTAGGTGGGGTTTGGGGAAGGATGCACTCTATGCATAAACAATGTTTTTGGACATCAGTGAAGCTGGCAAGGCTGACTCTGCATGGGACACAGGTCAGTCTTGCTGTGTAGCCCTATCAGCAGTGACCTTAATATAGTCATCATATTTTATAGAGAGGTCCATAAGATGATTAGCTAACAACTGATGGATGGAACTTCCTTCTTGTATGCAGAAGGAACTTTTGTTCATAGTATCAACAGCCAATTGTAACCAAAAGGTTTGATTGTTTGTAGAATTTAGGAGGCTCATGGAAATATCCACATTTAAAGTAGCACTTGAATAGTCGGTATCCACTATGGCCCTCTTTTTAAACTTAATAAAAGAATATTGTCCTGAATCTTGAGGGTGAGCTGAGTATTTATAGATTCCAAAATTTATATGATCCCCTTGAGACTGGTCTGTAAGATTTTTACATGGTCCCTCCCTGAATACCAGACTGAAAATTTCTTGATTTTCTTTACACCATCTTATAGGGCCTATTATTGGATCCTGACAGGAGTAAGTACAATTTAATATTAGTGAGGATCTTACAATGGCAGGTCCTACCTGCGCTACAAAGGGGTGCAAGGTTGGTTGAGGCTAGCATAGCTAACACCCAAGAATACATATATATTCCAACAGGGAAAAATTATTAGCATAATGTTTACAATAACAAGGAAAAGCAATAAGAAGTTAATGACAAAATATTAACCCTTAGAAATTTTAAAATTTAAAGGTCCATGCTCAGTCACTTTCCATCTTTGGCAGCTAGATTCTCCTCCAGTGGGTTCTGAAGGTGCTTTCTTAAGCTAAGAATGATGAATCCAAGCAGGAATACCAGCAACTTTGAGGGCAGTGGGAATGTGGAGAATCACAATAGAAGGGCCTTTTCACCTGGGTTCGATGGTATTAGTTTTCAAACATTGTATGAGCACAGCATCGCCAGGTTGGAATGAATGATCAACCAATCTATGTCCAACAGGCTGAGCAGCCTGAACCTGAAGAAAGATCTTATCCATGAATAGTTGTGACCCTGAGATTGGAATGTCTCCTAGCAGATCTAGGTGTACTCTGGAAACTATAGGCAGTGGCCGCCCATAAATTATTTCATATGCAGTAAATTTTTCCTCATAAGGAATGCAATGGGCCCTCAATAGGGCAAAAAGCAGGAGATTAACCCAGTTAACACCAGTCTCAAGGATTAATTTAGACAGTGTTTACTTCTATTCATCCTTTCTACCTTCCCTGATCTTTGAGGGTGGTACATACAGCATAATTTCTAGTTTATATTAAGGGCCTTTGAAATCAATTGAGATAATTTATACATAAAGGCCAGGCCATTGTCAGACCCCAAAATTAGAGGGAAGCCAAATCTAGGAACATTCTCATTTATTAGTTTTTTATCTGCTATTTGTGCCATTTCCATCCAGATTGGAAAAGCTTCTGCCCAGCCAGAGACAGTTTCAACAAAGACTAACAAGTATTTATATTCATATAGTCCAAGTTTAATTTCAGTAAAGCCTAATTCCCAAAATTTACCAGGTACAGAATCTTAACTCCTGTTTCCTTGTGGAAGTTGATCCTTCTAGCATTTACCTGTGCACATGTCATGCAACAATTTGAGATATCTTGAAACATCCTTCGATGTCCCCGAAGCCAAACATAGGATGAGATTAATTATGACATCTTCTTGGGTGATAAATGCATGGCTGGATGAAGATCAGTTAACCACTTTCTCCCTAGTAGCTTAGATATGCAGATTTTTCCATTTGGGAGGTTCCACCAGCCATGACAGTTTTGTTGGGCACCCAATGAGAAGATAAGTTTATTTTTTTCTGTAGTGTGTGAAGAGGCCTCCTCCCCAATTTTAACTGAAAATTTTGGATAATTGGAGAGTTGTTGGATAGTTTGGTGTCTCAGATCTCCAAGGGCTATTTCCCTGGCTGTTTGATCAGCCAAGTTGTTACCCTGAGTCTGGGGACTATCATCTTTGCAGTGTCCAGGCCAGTGGATAATTATCTGGCAACCAGATAGATAGCCTCCAGTAATTGAAGAATTTCTTGTTTATTTTCAATGGTCTTACCACATGAAGTTAAAAGTCCCCTTTGTTTATATATCTGTCCCTGCACATGTGCTGTAGCAAAAACATAGTGGCTGTTTGTGTAAATATTCACCTGTTTTTCTTGTGCTCATCTCAATGCCTGTGTGATAGCAATGATTTCTGCTTTTTGGGTTGATGAGCCCCTGGGCAAACCCTGTGCCCAAATAACTTCTTTTTGGCCCATATCTACTGCTACTCCCACATACCTCATTCCATCTCAGATGTAATTGCTGCCAGCAGTGTAAAGGTCTGCATCTCTGACACTGAGAAGAATTTCAGTCAGGTCTAGTCAAGTACATTGGATGACATCCAGCATCTATGAGCGGTCATGAATTGGCTCCTACAGGTTGTTGTCTGGCAGCAGGGTTGTTGAATTGACTGCCATGGATTTATTGAATGTTAATCTGTCCTTGTCTAGGAGGAAAGCCTGTTATTAAGTGATGCGGGCATTTGACATCCAATGATTTGTGGCATCCCTCAATAGATCTTCCTCTGTGTGTGGAACAGTCACAGTAAGAGTCTGCCCCAGAGTTAGTTTGTCTGTGTCCGTTATCAGGAGTGCAGTAGCCACTCTGGCTCTTAAACAAGGAGGCCACCCTGATGCTACCAGATCAAGCCTTTTTGAAATTTAGGAAATTGATCTTTTCTATAGCCCTAGATTTTGGGTAAGCACTCCCTTTGCAATACCCTTTATCTCATGAACATACAGATGGAAGGGCTTAGAGGGTATCAGGGAAGCTTAGGACAGGAGCCTACCAGAGCCTTTTTTAGATTTTTAAAGGCTAATTCATTTTCTACAGTCCAAGCTAAAGGTCAGTTGCCTCCCACAGTTGCAATATAGAGAGACTTGTCAATATCAGCAAATCCAGGTATCCAAAGGCGGCAGTATCTGACTGCCCCTAGGAATTTCCTAACCTGCTTTTTAGAGTGGGATTGGGATCTTCATTATGGCCTCTATGTGGGCTTGGGACAGCAGCTTTTTCCCTTCCATCAGTTCATATCCTAAATAAGTAACTTGAGGAGAACAGATTTGTGCTTTGTTTTTGGAGACTCAATACCCCAATTGAGCCAAGGTCCTCATTATGCCCCAGGTGGCCTTTCAACAGTCCCTTTCATCCCTTGCTGCTAGCAAAAGATCATCCTCATATTGAATCAAGGTTATCTTGGGGTACTCACTGCAGAAAAGGCTCAAATCTTTGTTGAGTTCTTCATAGAAGATGGTGGGGGAGCTCTTAAATCCCTGAGGTAGTGGAGTCCAGGTTGGTTGTCCCAATATTCCCTGCTCCAGGTCAGTCAATTCAAATGCAAAGATGGGATGACTCAGTTTTGACAAAGGAATGGAGAAAAATACATCTTTCAAATCTAATACCATATAGATCTTATGTTCTGATGCCAACAGACTGAGCAAGGTATAAGGGTTTGGGACAGTTGGGTATATGGTTTCTACCCATTTGTTCACTTCCCTCAAGTTCTGTACTGGTCTCTAATCATGAGTCCCAGGCCTTTGGACAGGCAGCAAAGGGGTGTTCCAAGGTGACTGATATCTAATTAGTATTTCCTGTTCTAGGAGACATCTAATATGGGTTTTGATTCTTTCTCTCGCTTCAGAGCTGATGGGGTATTGTCTAACCTGAATTGGCATAGCCCCAGATATTAGTTGTATTACAACCTAGAGGGTTATCCTTAGCCCAAACTGTAAGAATTTCTTGGATTAATAGTTTTTTTTTTTTTCCATTTTCCTTCTAAGCTTGGGTAAGATTTTGAGAGAGCAGATATTCCTCCCTTAATGGGCATGATATAGTTAAAGCTCTTGTAGGACTCCCTGATTGTAGGGAATTCATATCCCCTGAAAATGATATAGTTTCCTAAAGTTTGCTTAGAAGTTTCCATCCCAGCAATGGGAAAGGGCATTCAGGGATAACAATGAGAGAGTGAGTCACAGTTCCTTGTCCTACATCAGCAGTGGTCCATTTATAATTTTTAATTTCTCCTATTTCTCCTTGTACTTCCATATTTTCATTAGTGAGGGGTCCTGGTGGCTTCTGCAACACCAAATGTGAAGCCCCTGTATCCACTAAGAAATTTAGAGGTTGGCTCCCAGTTTTGAAGGTTACCATTGGCTCTTGGGAGCCTAGTTTGTAAGAGCCATGGTCCCCCTATTCTTCTAAAGTTAGAGCTGGTTTTAGATGAGGGGATTTGGCCTGCAGCTGGGGAAAGTCCTTTTGATTTTGTTGGGGGCATTTATTTTTTCCAGTGTCCGAATTCCCAGCAATAAGAATACTGATCTGTCTTTTGCCTCTGCTGTATGCAGTCTGCATCTGTCTGGGATTGAAAATTTCAGGAGACTGTAGCACAGCCCCTATGGCCCAATTTATTTCCTTTATCAGTAGAGCATCCTGGCTGTTTCTGTTTTCAAACACCTTTTGAGCTATCTCCAATAGCTCTGACCTGTTCTTCCTCAGAAAGCCATCAATCTTTTGAACATTTTTATGGATGTCTGGAGCCCGCCGAGGTATAAAAGCCAGGTTAATCGCCTTCAGGTGTTTTGGGTTCTCAAGCTCTATAGGAGTATATATAGATGGTATGCCTACAGGAAGGAGCCTTATCAGAAATGCTGAAGGCGACATGTCAGGGCTTTGTTTTACCTGTGGCAGTGAGTGGAAGTGCTGAGAGCTGCCAAATTTGCTTACAGCTCACCCCTGTACTGGAAAAACAAAGAACGGCATTGTGGCATGAATGCAGTATCAACACAGGCCCTTCCCTGGCAGGCCCCCAAATTGAGATTCAAGTCAAGTTTCCAGATTCTTTGTGGCAGTTGGACACCTGTGAAGGCAGGTACTATGCCATCAGAGGAAGCAGCACCAAGGCACAGGCCCCTGTTCCCCTGCAACCTGCACTACTGGCTGCACAGCAGCTCTAATCTAACCTGATGCCACAGCAGCAGTCCAAATCCCCACTCCTGATTATCTTTCAGGAGATATCTTTTGCTCTTCCCCTCTGCATGCTTATCCTGACTCCCATGGTGAACCATTCTGCCTTTTACCCTGTCTCCATTGGAAGTGGAAGGAATGTCCACTCCCATTTCCTTCCCACTCTAGCCCTTGGGGTGAATGTTTCAATATACACATTTTGCTTTAGAGTTTTAACCTTTGCTCAATGAAGTTGAAAACTTCCAGGGATATTAGAAAAGGGAGCTAACCTAAGGCAATTGACATTGACATAGAGGTCAGATTCCATGCAGTTTTTACTGTAGTAAATGTTTTGAAAATATTCAGAGTCATTTGCATCTCAATGGCCCTTACCTGGGCAATGTCCTTCCTCTCTAGAGTGGGGGAACCAGTCTCACCAATACAAGGAGATTTGGAGGGTGGCTGGGAAGAGACACTTGGAAACAATACTTGTGGAGGAGCTCAATTCCCTCCCTCCATTACTGGAGCTCCAAGGTGTGCCACCCCTGGACAAGGTCCCAAGAGACACTGGGACCTCTTGGTGGATATCAAATATCTTCTACTTCCTGGGAGATGTGTGATTATCCTGGTCTGGGAGTACTTGCTACCCAGTAAGCTGATGCCCAAAGAGAGTTACCACAAGATTAAGGAGCAAAAAAGGTTAGCACCACGTCACCCAAAGTTCTTCTGTTGCCAAAACCAAAAGGTTTCAAGGGAGGCTACATGACTCTTCCAAACCAAATCATACTTGTCAAAAGTGAGGTCCAAGCCCTCAAACTGTAGTGACTTTCTTATGACCATCATGAAAACAAATGCATCTGCTCATATTATACATTTAGGTCCCTACCAAAAGTCAAGCATGCTTCAGCTCCTAGAATCCTCCCATTCAATGGCAATGATTTTTAGAAGAATTTAAACTGATGTGTCAGTCCATTTTATACAAAAATGAGAAGTCCCAACTAGGGCTGGTGGAATATGTTATGTCACTAATGTGTTTGCCTATTGGTGGATGCACACTGCATGGAGAAGTCTATTTCCAGCTGAACATTCTCCATTCTTCTCTTAATAGACCAGATTAAAAAATCAGGTACAAGGGGGCCTTTTCCTAAATGGAAGTCGAGGGCATAAGCTTCACCTTGGTGCGCTGAGGCATCGCTCCCTTGGTGATGGCATCATCACCTCTTCCACCCCCTGTATAGGAACAAAACCATCAAGTCACCTTAAATGTTCTCAAGCCAGCCCTGTGCTCACATTTGTGTGAACTCCACAGAGGCATTCCCCTTTATAACTGTTATCTGTTAGTGTATGGCAAATGTATTCCTTCTAAACAACAACCTGGTTTTAGTGCAGATCATAAGCCATCACCTACAGTACAGGTAGTACAGAATGCTGACATCCAATACTCATGCTGACTCTGATTAAATGGAAGGGATAAGGGAAAGTTGTAAGATGATCCATAGAATCTGCAGATCAGAGAGACTGAGAGGACCCCAGAGAACAGGAAGCCATCCCGTGCACCTTCTGCAAAGCGGAGGGTCATTGCAGACACAATTATTTCCAATGCTTCCCAGAGAAGCCATTAAGGTCAGCCAGACACAGACCCACCCTGGCAAGAGGCACTACTCATAGAGGAGAGCTAAAGAAGTCAGAGGTCTTCAAAAATGTCCCCAAATTGATGTCTGAGGTATCTCAATTATTGCATAGGAATACATAGGAAAAAAATCAATTTGGACCAACTAGGTCCTCAAACACAGTACAGGATACCTAAAATCACAGCCCTGTGTGGATGTTGAAAAAGAAAAGGAATATTGGTTTCTTTGATTGTTGATTAAGGTAAAGATGCACTTGTGTCAGCCCTACCTCACACTAAGGGACACTGGAGGCCAAGAAAAAAGGGTTCCTCTATGAGAGAGTAACCCCAATCACAAGATTCACTAACTGGTCTTGAGTTCATTTCAGTGAGAGTGCAATGAAATGCTGGATAGGAAGCAGTAGGCATAATGCCTGGCAGAGTGTGCTACTTTTACTCTTGTTTTGATAATCAGTACACATACCTGAAATGAAGTTCATGAAATGCCACAAAAACAGCTTCTTGGGTTTGAATTAGAAAAGACTCGGACATGAAATTGTAATGGGCAATGAAAATCAAGGCATGTAAGATGACTCAATAAGCAGATTGGGTGATAAGCACACAGAAGGAAGAAATCAGGAAGCCTTTTGTCAATGTTTGTAGAATTCTGGAGGATTAGGAATTCCAAACATCAAGAAGTAAGGAAGGAAGGAGGGGAGGGAGGGAGGGAGGTAGGAAGGAATGAAAGAAGAAGTAGTTATGGAACATTTGAAGGCAGGTTCCCAATATAACCTTTATTTTTATTCACTGAAGATGAAAACTGGCAGACCGGTTCTAGAGTCTATGTGTCAACCAGTATGCTCTGCTTTCCTATAAGATAGGCAGAACTTGAAGAGGATTCAGCTGGTGAGCATCACATATGTAGAGGGGAAGAAATGAGAGCAGAACACCTATCAGAAGCATCACACAGTCTTCTAGGCATAAGGTCTTGAGGAATTGGAGTGAGACGTAGACACTAGTTGTGGAAAGGGGGAAAGAAGAGATGGTCAGCTCTGTGAGAGCAAGATAGTGAAAAGAGGAGCTTGCTCATGGCACTCTTGAAAGAATTTAGCACTTTTGCCTCATAGGATTACTTCTTCATTTGTACAGGAAAGAGACATAAGAAAATGTTGGCTCTTTCTGCATTCAGATTGGTTTCACAGAACACATTTTCATCCAGTATACCAATTCATTTGGATACATCACCTGTTTGATTTCTTCTGCACCTTGCTCTTTCACCCTCTCAACCTTAAAGAGGGAACTGAGGGTCTGAAAAAGAGAGAATAAGAAGTAATCAACACCTAGGGTAGAAACAATAACAACAAATGCCCCTCCCCACACCTTGATTCTGGCTCTCAGGCTTGTTGGAAACAGCCTGTCAGCACAATGGAACAGATCTTCCAGAAGCACAGGAAACCTATGTGAAGAGCTGTAGGCGGGCAAGGCTGGGCTTGTGGCTAAGTGGTCCAATGCTGGCCGGGCATGTATGAGGCCCTGGTTTCTATGGTGTGCACACAGTATCAATGATTACATTCTCTAACTAAGGAATTCCAAAGAAAAACTGTAGGATCGGGAACACTAAGACCTCAGGCCACACAGCCTTTCACAGTCCTACTCCTGGGCAGTACCTATGAGGTCTCCATGTTCAGGCTTCACCAGCACCAATGAGGGTGAAGTCCTGCAGCACTTTGAATCATTGAAAGATACTTGAATGCAACTGTCCTTTGACCAGAGATGCTTCCTCATCTGCACATGAAGTGACAGATTACCCATGTTTTCCTTGGATTTTTTTCAATGACTGGCTAGGGAATGTAGCGGTGTTACTATATTTCCTTCCAGTATGCTCCAGCACCCCTGGAACACATACTGAAACCAGGTGTCATGGCAAGGCCACAGCAGGCCATGGAAATATCTCTCAGGTCTCTTTGAAAAACCATCTTGCACAAAATCAGTGAATCCTGGCCAATATTTTCAAATTTTCAGCCCCTTGTTGGAAATGTCTCCCAGAGCTTTAAACTCGGATCTCTGTGTTTCCTTAGGAACCTACCTGTTCCAGAGTGGGTCCTCTAATGCAGGCTGTTTCCCCAAGGCACCTGTGTGAAATACATGATAAGACACAATATTAATCTATGCTTTCTAATTTTTTAAGAGAGAGAGAGAGAGAAATTTTTAATATTTATTTCTCAGTTTTCGGTGGACACAACATCTTTATTTTATTTTTTATGTGGTGCTGAGGATCAAACCCAGCACCCTGCACATGCCAGGCGAGTGTGTTAACACTTGAGCCACATCCCCAGCACTAAATCTATGCTTTCTTCATAGGGAAAAGAAAACCAATCTAGTTGAGGTGCACAAACTCCAATGATTTTGCACCTAAGAACTCACTCTCCTTTCCACTCTCTCTAACACTTCTACACTTCATGCTGAGAATGATGGATTTGGAAAGAGCTAGTCCCTGACCAAAATTCTGAGGTGCATAGATGAGAGAGGATTTGTCAGTAACCACTCTCTGCTAGTACTGAGGGTCCATTCTAGAGGTGTCACTGTGAATTTCAGGGATGCCTTGGCAGAATGAGCTCTCTTGGGTCTCCTGTGCTTGGCCATTTCACCTCTTTCCCTTGGAGCTGCAGAGGGGGTAAGAAATAGAAAGATACCTTGGGAAGAAAAGATACTTGGGAAGATGTTTCCCATTTCGGACAGCATTTCAAAGGGCAGGTGGCCAGAGTGGACTAGAGTCTACTAAAGGGTTGTGCTGGCCACTCCAAACCCCGCCTGTGGGCTCTCTCTGCTCTGCAGGTGCCATGGCCCCCCTAATCCAGAGAGCCTGCCCTGATTCATGCCTTCCCTCCTCACAACCAGCCCTCTTTTGGTGCCAATCCTGCTCTGGGGAGGTGACTGAACCCGAGGGTGCTCACGAGCTAGCTCCTCGGAAAACGTTCTTGGCACTCATATCACTCATTCCTCTAGCATCAAAGGTTGTTTCCCCAGACATCCTCACAGGAGCTGCTTCTCTCTACTGAAGTTTCTAGGTGACTTCCATTTTGTCAGAATCAGGCAGGCATTATCCTCCTTTTCCAGATGAGGAAGCTGAGGCTGAGGACCTTATATTAAGTGATTTCTCCCAGTTATATCCCAGAGCTGATCTTTAGAAAATACTCCCAAACTTCAGTTACCCTATACTTCCTAAAGCCAAATTGCAGCTCCAACCACATGGGAACTACTTCCTGGAGTCACCCAGAATTGGGCCCAATGACTTCTTCTATAGGCTTGTTTGGATACCTGCAATGCATGTTGCCTCTCTCAACCCCAATGCAACTATCCTTTTCACCTCTGAGACCAACAGTGAGTTCCTGAGGTCAGGGCCAGTGATGTGCACATCTGTCTGGCTTGCTCCCCACATGAGCGCATCCTCTGTGAAGGCACTCAGTGATGTGCATTGTGTGCAAATCTGGCTGAGGAAACCCTTCCTGAGGCAAGTTCAGATCCTACAACTCTGCTCTCTCACACCTGTACTTAGAAAGATCAGATCAGCCCTGCTCTGTGCTGTTTAGAATGAAGTAGAGGGTTAAAAAGTTTAGGTGTGCTGGCCTGTAACTGGCTCAGGATCATTGCAGTTAATCTCACTGCATCCAGCTGCACAGGCTGCCTGATCATCTCCTAGGGCTTCGTTCCCATGTCCACTCCTCAAGGGAACCTTCATAAATGAACTCTCTCCGTCTTTGCATATCTTAATTGTCTCTTTGACTTCAACTCTTTTATTCCCTTCATGGAAATTTCACTCTCTGAATTGCTTCTATCCTTCTTTTCTTTGATTCCACTGGTTTCCATTCCACTGGATACAGACAAAAAATAAATATATGTTGTGTGATGAGAATACTATGTTGATGAACAAAGCAGACAAAGAAAGATGAAAATAAAGAGACACTCAAGCAGAGAACTAAAAATTGAGCAAAGAGTCTCTATGAAGAAGGGAAAGAAAAGCTTCCCAGGAAGTGGAAAGAGACACATGGGAGTGGCTGGTGAGAATGCTCAGGCATTTGGAGGCCTTGGTTCAGGATTGTGGTTTTCCATCAGAGGGCAATGAGAAGTCACTGCATGTGGGAGCAGACTGGCATGATCTGTGCTGTCAAGGCTCATTCTGGCTACTGAAGAAAATGGGAGGAACTAAATGGTAACAAGGAGCCAAGCCAGGACCAGGGGTACAAGCTTCTTGGGGTCTGCCCTCAGCTTCATGAGCAAATATCTCTCCAACTGAGCTGGTCAAAAGTGAACCCAGCTGCCTCAGGAGAACTCAAGCAAGTCCCTGAGTGACAGCATACTGTGATGATTGGGTGGTGAGTAGGGTTGTCCTAACCTCATGACTCTGCTATCTGATGGGAGTTGGATTAGACATGTCTCCAAGTCTCCTCCTACTGGAGACCACGGGGTTCTGGGAAATCCATGGAAAGCACTGTATGCCACCATGTTGGGGTGTTTGCCACGTGGGAGGACAAGGATGTGTTTGGTGGTAGAAATGTGATGAGAGTGAAGGGGCAGTCTGAGCCAAAGTCCAGAGTTCCTGGTGGACTCTGGCATGCCAGAAGGGAATGGTGTCTGAAGGATGGGGAGGGAGATGAAGCTGGAAAGGGATACAGGATCACATAGGAGATAGCCCCCACTGGGACGGATAATGCCAAAGAAACACTGGTTGAAGAAACAACAGACAGAGTCCAGGAGCCACAGAAGGAATTTTGCACCACAAGGTAATTTAGAGCTTGTGTCTCCTTGACTACTCATGCAGAAACTTATTGTTGCCTGGGCTGTCCAATGTTCACTGTGTTCCCTGACCCACTTCCCTCTGAAAAACATCCACAGGGCTGGGATTGTGGCACCGTGGTACAGCACAGCCTAGCATGTGTGAGACACTGTGTTGGATTCTAAGCACAACACATCAATCAATTAATAAAATGAGGGTCCATCCACAATTAAAAAAACATAAAAAAGAGAAGAAGAAGAAGAAGAAGAAGAAGAAGAAGAAGAAGAAGAAGAAGAAGAGGAGGAGGAGGAGGAGGAGGAGGAGGAGGAGGAGGAGGAGGAGGAGCAACAACAACAAGAACAACAACAAGAAGCAGCAGCTATGCAGAAATGGCTCCCTAACCACCAACCCCATACATAGAAACTCCTGAGGGTGTGAGGGCCTTTTCCTGTGGGCTGTTCTGTGCATTCCCAATATGAACTTGGGAACAGACAATTCTGTCTTGGGACCATTGTTTGATGGAAGACAACTATGCTCATGACATGTCACAAGATGGAGTCCCTTCCTTGCATCAACTGTCACCCACTCCACAACCACCTATCCTAGAATTCTCAGTGCTCAGAACCCTCTGACCTCATCTTGAGGACATAATGAGGCTGAGGCCTTTTGAGGACTCCCATTGGTGGAACAAGCAGTGGGGGAGTTCATTCTTTCCAGAGCCTTAGGACTGGTAAGAAGCCTCCAACTGATGGATTCCCCAAAGGAGGACCTGGGCTTTCCTGGATGTAAGTAGCCCTCCTGTTCCTGGAGTGTAGGGGAATTCCTTTGGAAGGATGGGGAGGTGGCTGCCTGTGGGAAGTGCTAAGCAGTTAAGAGGTAGGCTCCACTAGAAGAGGAGGGACTCCAGGTAGACACAGACTACATTCTTCCCAAACAGAAAAGCTACATGGGAGTCCTTGTCAAGAGGGGAGCTTTGACTTCCTCAAGGACCTTGCCCTTAGTGAGTCTGAAGGATCAGATAGGTCCGGGACTGGGAGCCAGAAGGTCTGACAGAGTCCGGGTAGATCATGGCCCCTGTACACCTAGTGTTCCTTATCTGTCAAAGGTGAAAGTGGCCTCTCAGGCTTCCTGCCAAACTAGCTTCGACTCAATCAGAAGAGAATTGGCATGTCTTGGAGGAGGGTGGGAATAAATGAATGGATGAATGAACCAGGTCAAGTAGAGGAAGAAGAAAGAGTCCAGGTCTCAAGCTACAGCTGTCAGCTTGCCTCTTTCTGTTTCAGCCTTAAATTGGATTCCCTTTATTATGGATTACTGGGGCTGTATTATGTGATCACTGTGGGCTTCCTTCTCTTTCTTTGCTGCAAGAGGAAAGTGGAGGAGCATTCCTGGCAGTTGGTGAAAGTGCTGAGAGCCGCCACCTTCATTTACAGCCCACTCACTCCTGTACTGGAGAAACAAAAAACAACAATATGGCGTGAAGTCAGCTTTCAACACAGGCCCTTCCTCGGCTGGTCCCCAAACTGACTAGCCAGTGGAGATTCCAGATTCTGTGTGGTAGTTGGACACCTGTGAAGGCAGGCACTATGCCATCAGAGGAAGCAGCACCAAGCCACAGGCTCCTGTTACTCTGCCACCTGCGCTGCTGGCCGCACAGTAGCTCTTCCTTCACCTGGTACCACAGCACCAACCTACATCTCCACTCTCGATTATCTTTCAGGAGATACCTTTTGCAACACCCCATCCACATGCTGAACCTACCTCTCATGCCGGATCACTCTGCTTCCTACCACTGATTCACAGGGAACAAACATACCACATTAATAGGGCCGGAGTTCTAATTCCTATCCCTCTAACCCTAAGACGCTATCAAATGCATTGCTCCGTTTTTCAGATGATCTTCCAATAATCAGCAGATATCCACTAGAGAAAAATCACTCCAAAAACTGACCTTATTTCCCTAAGCATTTATTTTCTCCTAGATATTCATCCTCTTATTGCTTCTCAAATACCTTCAAATAGTTGGGTAGGGGAGGAACTGGCTTTTTTATTTGTTGTATGAAGAAAGATTTATTTCCAAATATTTTCTATCCCATAACAGAGTAGAAACAGCAACCTCCCTCTTTAACTTTCATACTCAAATGTCTTACATTCCCGACTTCCTCCAATATAGACTGACTTTTCTCCCTGAGCAAATTTCTCTATAACTACCTTTCTTCCTGTCCTGTATTAGAAGCAAAAATACCCCTTAATGTTTGTAACCTAACATTCTCAATTCAATTTTATCTATGTACTCTAAAACCGTACCACCACACCCATTATTCTCTCCATAGCTTTCTTTCCAGTCATACCCAGCCA